CATCCCTCTGCTAGTTTTCTAGCTGAAATGCAAATCCTTCAGGTCAGGGGATTCACTTTCTGTCGCTCTCATTCCCTCCTGACAACCTTACAGTACTTACTCCCCACGGTCAGAGTAAGCACTGGCTGCTGTCTGGTTTTTGTACCTATTGGGAAAAGGAGTGTTAGTCAGGGTTCTCCAGAGGGACAGAATAATATGGTGTGTGTGCATGTGTGTGTGTGTGTGTGTGTGTGTGTGTGTTTATTAAGGAGAACTGGTTCATACGATCACAAGGCAAAGTCCTACAATCTGCAAGCTGGGGAAGAGAGAAGCTGGCAGTGGCTCAGTCTGAATTTGAAAGCCTCAAACCAAGGAAGCTGATAATGCAGCCTTCAGTCTGTGACCAAAGGCCCGAGAGCCCCTGGCAAGCCACTGGTACAAGTCCCAGAGTCCAAAGGCCAATGAACCTGGAGTCTAGTGTCTAAGGGCAGGAGGAGCGGGAGGAAGCATCCAGCACGGGAGAAAGAAGGCAGCCGGAAGCCCCAGCGAGAAAGGGGATCCCACCTCTTCCACCTGCTTTTGTTGTAGCCATGCTGGCAGCCGACTGGATGGTGCCCACCCACACTGAGGGTGGGTCTTCCTCTCCCGGTCCACTGATTCAAATGCCAACCTCCTCCGGCAACACCCTCACACATATACCCAGAAACAATGCTTTGCGTCCTTCAGTCCAATCAAGCGGACACCTAATATTAACCATCACAAGGAAAAATGCTGGGAGAGCCATGGCCGGCCCAGCCCCTCCTCACCGCATCCTCTGCTTCCCCATCTGTCTTATCCACAGCTCTGCCCCTGAAGACTGCACGTCCTTCAGCATCAGCGCCTCTCCAGGGGTGGGCGTGGATATTGCCCACGGCCCTCCAGCCAAGAAGAAGTCCACAGGTTCCTCCACATGGCCCCTGGACCCTGGGGTAGAGGTGACCCTGACGATGAAAGCGGCCAGTGGTAGCACAGGCGACCAGAAGGTGAGTGTCATAGCTGTGGGGTGGCAGTATGGATGGATTTCAGCAGGGCAACCACTCGCACTCTGTCCTGCTGTAATCCACAGCACCAACCTGGCAGAGCCTCTTTCCCTGTGCAAAAGCTCATGCTGGCTTCTTCCAGCCATAGTGTCCCCGAGGACAATAATATACGGCTTCCGGGGGTTCATGGAGGTCAGGGTTTAGATTAAACTCTATTCAGCAAATCTTTAGTCAGTACCTAGCACGTGCCAGACACTGCTGGACACTGCCAGGCACTGGGAATCCAGAAATGAACAAGACAGCTGAGGGTGCAGCCCTCATGGGATCATATAACCTGTGAGTGGTGGTGTCAGAGAATCTACTGGTAAACAAACAATTGCAAATGATGCTGAGTTCTATGGAGGCCACAGACAGGTAGCCCCATGGAACGCTGGTCCATGCTCCTGAATCGGTTTCCTGTGTCTGGTATAGAAAATCACCATGGTGGCTGGGCACAGTGGCTCATACCTGCAATCCCAGCACTTTGCGAGGC